CTTTGTCATTTCACGTTGATGCGAATATCATGGCGTCCCATTCCCTACGAATCTCGTTCCCTTCTGCGCGAAGCACGAACGAAATTCATTGTCAAGGAATGCGACTGGATTTATTTGTCTGCAGTAGCTTTGATATCCCCAGCAGGCAAAAGAGTATCGTGCATAAATTTTGTCTTAAACTGATCTGCCATTAATCATATCACATTTGCCGCTAATATTTAGCTAGCGCAGCTCAATATTTCGCTATTTTAACTAGCGCCCGTAATTAAACAAATATAAATCATTCTGTTGAAAAAATTAATCGTTCCATTTTCAATTAGAACAGATATAGACAATGGAATCCATAATTCAGTTGATAATATATTAATACATAAAAATGTATAATTATTTGTAAGACTCTGTTAACGAATAATACGATTAAATTTTATTATTTGTAGCAACATTAAACAAAATAATAACACACACAATGTTCTTTTTTAGATTATTCTTCGAAGAAGCATCCAGACTTCAAATATCAACCATTCCGTATGCAGCTGGATATCAATTGTTACTTGCCAAAGAAAATCTGTAAAATATTTGACGGATTCTCTGTTTAAATGGTAAATTCCAAATACAACAATTTTTAAGTTTAAAAGATTATCAATTTTAAAGTATAATATTAAAAACGTTATATTTTAAGAGTTATCTTAAAAGATAATATTCCTACATTATAACATTATTATTTTGCTTACAGATGATGCCTTGGCAGACCAATGTGTCACATGAGAGTATAACTTAATGGCCCAAATGTCATTAAAATATTGCAAAATGTACAATCGGATGAATCAAATCCTTCATTGAATACTACAGAAAAGAAAAAACAGCTTTGAATTACAGTTAGGTTTTTATCTTCCAATGAGATACGTGCCGAATAGCAGAAGAAGAAAGTAAATGACATAATAGGAATTGCACAATATTCCAGTACTTTCGCTAAACGCTGATTAATAGATACGGAAGAAATATTAGAAGATAGTTTCTGTTTTATAGAAATTTTACATCGCCATGATATATTCTTTATATGTCCGTTTCAATTACTCGTTAATAGTTCATAAATACACATGTTGCAACCGCAATTGATTTTAATATTTTTGTAACTATTAGCGAATTCGGCAGCTTGCAATAATGCGCACCGAGTGCGCACCAAGACTTGTTCCGAGTCTACTCTTATATTTATGGTCATCTCAAGTATATGTTCGAAAACTATTTAACCAAAAAAATGATCCACACGAATACTATACAGATTATTTTACTGGCTAAGAAGTATTTCAAAAAGTATGTAAGACGATCCTTAAATATAAGAATTGGCTGTAAACAAACCTTAGTGCAAGCTGCCGAATTCGCTATATGTTTCTGCATATTTGACATCTTATTTCGGATAGCCTTTTAATCGTAGATTGTATTTCATGCATGCAAACTAAATGTTTTGAATAACGTAAAGTATTTTCTATTTAGTGTGATGTTTTAAATGCCTTTCTCTTAGAAAACTCATAATTTAATTATTTGAGACGCAGCGATTTTGATCGAGAAATATACGAGCCGCGATGGAAATTTTTCTTCGTAATATTTTAAGTGTAATGCATATTTAAATTGCACATTTAGATTAATATATTAATTAGACCGGTCGCTTTCTATAGAAACCGTTTTCCAAATGTTGTCGTGTCCAAGCTGAGTATTTTAATAATTAGAAATGCGCGCATACAAATTGCAATTTAGTTCCACGCTGTGTTTATCAGATATTTCGTTAATTCCCGATGAGAACTACATCGTTTCCCCTTTTACAGTTTACCCTACGACGGCTTCAATGGGTTTCAAACGCAAGATAATTCGATTCGGAAACTTTTCAAGTTTCTATCTCGATTTCACACTCGATCAAACCAGCTACCATGGCGCGTTTAGGGCTTTCGTGAGTCCAAAACTACTCTACATAGTACTTAAACGTAAGGACAGCAAAATTTTGAACAAATTTTATAGATCTGAAAAATTGTTTTAAATAAATAAAACAAATCAAAGGCTCTATCAATAAAACACAAGCGTAAATTAACAGGCAATAAGAGCCAATAAAGGTTATTGGGTGTGAAACATGTACAAATGTACAGTATAAATAAACAGTTTAAATATATATTTATACTGTAAATTTGTACATGTTTCACACCCAATAACCCGTGTTGGCTCTATTGCCTGTTAATTTATGCTCGTGAAAAATGTTTATTATAATATTTCAATAGTAAGATTTTAGAGGATCTTAGTAAAATTATAGTGCTGTGTGAACTTGAAATTGCAATAACGGAATGAATTTTTATGGTCGTTTCTGTTACAATATGATCCGCATATGGTTATCTCCGTGCGACGGGAAATGTATTCAATAAAAGAATCTAAAAGAACTAGATTATACATAACTTATATACAATTATTTTTTCTCCGTTTCTTTAATCTATGTTCGGCTGTAAAATTAGCATGGTATCCCGATTCGCTGCTATTTTAGAAAAAAAATATTCGGGGAATGAACGTACTGACAAGAATATATGCACAAAAATGTAAACATCAAAGAAGCGGGAGAAAGATACAGGATTGCCCATAAACCATGTTATCTGATCACATATCTGCACATGTATACATTTAGACACGCAACATTCCGCAATCGCAAAGCAGATTTCTGAAATATTCATTAGAAGATCGTATAAACGATCCTCTTCTCGAGACTCACAATTGCTAGGATACTATATAAGCTTCTCACCCTCCTTCCCCCATAAAATGAATAATAGCTAATCCTAGAATTTTTTTAAATATTAACTTAGTGTTAATGAGATTTCACGGATATAATCAACGTTAAAAAGTGCCGAGATTACCTTTCATCACATTTTAACGCGACAAACGCGAAATTCACTCGCGCAAAACGTATTTTAATTTGATTTTGATATAAAAAACGTTATCATTAATATCTTATCTCTGTCGCAGCGTGTGAATATACATAGTTTTGAACGTAACATTATATCTATTTTCCAACGTGACTACTTGAAACGACTTTGTTTCGCAAATATGTGTGTATAAAATTTACACAATAATATAGAAAACAATCTATCAGCATGAAAATTGTGGATTTTCGAATCTGCATCGCGCAAAGTTTTGTGAGATGTAAAAGGGCACTAATATCCATCATGCGGAATTGAGTTATATTTTAGCAGACAGTCATGCTTCAAAACGGTTCGTATAGTCATTAAGGCATCATTAATCTTGTGCTTTTCTTATGCGGACGACAATAAAGTTACTGTTAGAACAGGTGCTAAATTTAGATATGCCAACGTTATCAACTCAATTAGAGAACAACAAAGCCCGACAATGCGTACGAGAATTCGTCTAGCAGATTTAAAACGAAATTGTGCACGATTATGTCGCATGTTTCAAACTTGTTATTATCAAGTAATTGTTACAGCGAGCAAAATAATTCGTGTACACTAAATTAACAAAACGCCTTAGAGTTTTCTCACTCTGGGCTGATATTTTGAATTTGTTACAACATCATACTTTTAAGCGGCATCTTTTCACTCCTCGTGATGCAATACGCTTATATAATTACAAATAACGTAACGGTTCTCTCATTTTGGGACCTCGAAATTGCTTGGGCATAAAAGAAACTTGCGCGCACCCGTACGACAAATATTTCACGTCGTTTTTACCGAGCATTTTGCGAAACACAACGAAAAAATACGGTAAAAAATAATTGAAAACTCGCGAGAAACGACGAATTAAGTAGCAACAAAATGACCGTGCAATTTAGAAGATTGTCCGAAAAAATATTCACGCCTAAAGCCTAATCTACAATGCGCTTTCTGTATCTAGAAACATTCTACTTCAACAAATCGAAACGCTTAAAAAATTTGTCGACAAAGTACGATTATAGAACATACATATAATATACAATTTATCAACTTGCATAAATTTTGTAAACGGATTTATAGACTACAGAATGGAATGTTTCTAGACGCAGAGAGCACATGTAGATTAGGCTTAAATGTATTCAAGATGTAACATCTCAAAGTGTTTTCCACGTAATTTACGGCGTATCGCGACCTGGGCAAATGAAAATGCGTACGAATGCAGGTCGACACGACTACCTGTCGTTTTGTCGTAATTCGAAGTCGATCGACATGAACCGTACGACTTTGTAGGCCTTGGCCTGCAAAAGTATGCTACCTGCGCATTTCGTAAGGTCAGTCTCGAACCTTTTCAGCCTGAAACAACAATGCGCGTGTTTCGCGGGCAAATTTTCGTAATAAAGAAAGCTTTCAATCTGCTTTCCATGCGTATGCACATGTGTTGCGGCTTTCTTCCAGAAACTGGGGCAATTTATGACCTCCAAAACCCGAGACGCAATATTCGACCTAGCCGGCATACCGGCTGACATCTGACTTTTCTTCGCAGAATGTAACGTCACCGTTCGCACCAGATTTCCGACTTTACGTCACATATTTCTAAACGAAACGAAAATTTATCGCTTCGCAATAATATCCGTACGAGCTCGAAGATAGCATGTGGCGAGGCCGAAGAAAGGAGATCACACCATGTGCAATCTTTGCCCTAAAATAACCATAACATTTGGTTAAACCTGGCAATTGGTGTGTTACGAATCGCAGAACAATAGCGGAGAGTACAGTGGTATCTGCCTTTCCTGAGCCTCCAACGTTCGACGGATTTGCGAACTGCGTTTTTCATATACTGTCGCTAATATTTTGTTGTTGTCAACATTATTCTCTATTGGGAGCAATATTTAATAAAGAACAATGTTAACGATGTTAATAGAGAGTACAAAACGGAGAGTTTCATGGAAATAAATTCTATCGAACTTCGGAGGAAGCCCAGCGAATAATATTATAACTTCGTCATACAAAATCACTTTTAAGACTACGAAAATAAGATCATTTGCAACTTGTAATTATTTTATTACCATGCATCGGATCACTTACCAATCCCACAGCTATTCTACTTCTTTGCAATGCCACCAGCAACACGGACCGATGGCGGTGAACTGCGTCCGACGATGGAAAGCAGCTGCAACAGCGTGTTCTGATTAAATAATAAAACTGATCGTCTAATTTTGGGCATTTGTAAGTAACTTTCAATCCCAATCACCTCCAGCTCATCATCGCGCCTCGACATTTGTATTCGGAGACAATCTATTCATGACAATTCAAGGAATTATATTTTCCAAGAGCTCCCGGCTAAGTACTTGAACAAAACAATCATTTCAAACGAGCGTTATTTTGCGACGTCGAAAGAATCTTTACAAGGACAGTCTGCGCGTTGAAATCAGACTTGCAGTTTACGGTGGAACTTTCACCCCTAACTTCTAAATATGTTATTAGAATAGAATTTCTTCTTACCCACGATTTCGACCGCCTTCACGATGAACCAGGCAATCAAACTCTCGTGTCTCGGCCGACGCGAACGCGTATGACCGCCGAGTTTCAAAACCGTTGTAGGCGATATTAACCCTAACAATGCACGAACAATGAAATCGAGCTACTAGTGAAAATGAGAGCGTGACAACGTTGCTCGCCGGGGAGAAAAAAAATCGATTCGACAACCGGTCAACTTCTCGATCCTACCAATAAAAGGTGGCAGCACCTCGCCGCGATTTCTCTCGTCAGTGGCAACGTCGATGGCCGTATTTTTTTTCTCCGTTCACGTTGCTGGCAGATTAGGCTAATGCGATGGACCAGATGAGATATGGGCCAGCGAATGGGAGTACAGTACTCGCATGGCAGGGGCGTGACTGTACCCTGGAAACGGCCGTGCCCGGGGCCGCGATCGCGACGTAAACTAAGTGCTGGGTGGAGCCCCGTCTAGGCACTACCTACTCGATGGAACCATCATACTCTACCTCGAATATCGCGGGGACAGTCTAATGGTTGCCGGTATTCTTGAAAGGCGCCAGTTTCGAACGTGGTTCACGATAACAAACGTGCGATTGCACTGTTTAATTATAGTATTGCCCTATATCCTCCTATACTCCAGTCCTCGATTGGATCCATCATCAGTGTGCACTGCACCCGTGTATGTCGCGTCGTGCTGGATTCAATATTTGTGCGACTGATGGGATTCATCGGTTTGTTGCTCGACAGTGCTTCGCCGCTCTCCTTTTTTCTGATAGGTTTATTGTATACATACGTTCTCTGGTATTTTTGTGAAAATGAAACATCTCGCCTTTGTAGGTATAATATATATTTTTCTGGTACCAGAAGTGGATTAACTTCTGTCGCACTGTCGATACAAATTATTAATTCTTTGTATCAAATTTTGTGTCCCCGTTGATTTTGACTTTGGTCGTCTATTCACTTCGTAAATCGCAAATAATGTCACTGAATCTTCATTATTCGTATTGATTAATTTATATAATGCGATGGATGTATGCGATGATGAATGCGACGAGAGAGCATCCATTTTCATTGGTTGAGTCGATGTAACGATTTTGTTGAAGTCCACGGTACATCCATGAGTAGGTGATATGTAATTGAATCTGAAAAAAACAAGAAAAAGTATCTTGTTAGTACTAGAAATGTAACTTCTAATTACGTACATTTGACGAATAACATATGTCGATAGACATGGAAGTAAATTTCGCTCGTGCAATAAATAATTCAACGCGAGAGAAATAATAATTAGAGAGACGAAAGGGGAGAGGCGCGTGTTCAATGAAAAACAGCGCAGTGGCACTGGCATAAAGTAAGGGAAAAAAAATATATATATACACAAGCAGGATCTTTCCAATTTGTTCGACGCGGCGCTGGGCAATACACCACTTACGTCACCCTGGTCGTGAAAGTATATTGAATTCACGAGGTCGCGATATTTTCAACAGGGAACAATGAGGCGAACGTATTTGCGCCAATCTCGCGTACAATGCATCGCAATGACCTCGGGTGAGAAAGGGCAGCAAAAGATTTAAAAAAACAAAAAACGTCCGTCCGTCGAACAAACACTTTTCAGTCTATCAGCCCTCGCGCGGTAGTTTTTCATGTCCCGTTTACTCGCTCCAACCCCTTGCTCATTCCCACGCCATTCGTCTGTCTACCGATATTCGTCGGTAGGGCCATATCTCCCGGCTACTTTTCAATTTCATTCGACGAGGGCACACCTCGGTGCGCGCACCGCACCCGCCGCGTGCCTCCTCCTCCTCTTCCTCCTCGTCGCCGCCGCCGCCGCCGCCGCCGCCGCCGCCGTCGCCGCCGCGCCGTCCGTGTCCAATTCTGGACGACATAAATCCGATAAGTTTTTATTATTTAGCATATCCGTAGCCGGTGAGCAACAGCTACGGTCGTCACCTAGAATCCCGTTGAGAGGCCGCGGACGGTAGAGGAGCAACACAACTAGCAGAGAGCGGTAGGGGACCGAAGTCGGCGGTGTGGCGCAGCGGCGAAATTTCTGTCGCGAGGCTACGTAGCACGGCTGGCGGTCCCGGGGGATGCCCCGTTGATGTCATCGGGACATCCGGCTAATTGCGAGGATGTTTTGTTAGTTTCTCGGAGTGCGCGAGTCTCTCCCCTTACAAGGTTTTGCATTTAGCCTTTCTATACATCGGCGACGCGGACCCGGACCCGAACTTCCCAAAACACCTGGAAATGCGCCCCGCTCGAAATAAATTCGCATTAATCCAGCAAATGTCACCTTGTATCTTATTACCGGCGTAAAAAGGGAGAGACAAAAATATAAACCAGATCGCGTATAATGCACGTATCTATCCTCAAATAATGGATTCATTTCTCTATCAGCACTGATATGTAAGAGCGTTCCATTCATACGAGATAACAATATTATTTTAATTAAAATTTACTTTAGAGAACGCCTCAAATATATTTCGTATATTTACATATTTTAGACACCTCGTATGAATTACGATTTGAACGCTTGATTCGCGTAAAGGCTGAATCAGACTAGCAATTGTCGGCGCAGATTGGATTGGGATTGGCGATTGGCGAATGTCTTCTGGCCAATGAGAGCAAAGCAGTCAGCGATTTAATCGACTCTCATTGGCCGGAGAACAATCGTCAATCGCCAATCCGAATCCAATTCGAGTTGGCAATTGCTAGTCTGATTCGGCCTTAACGCAATTATTACAGCTGCGTCATCTTAAGGAGACATATCGAGCAGTTTCTTTTTTCCATCGAGCAGGTATATCGCAAAACACTTTGCAAACGTGCACTATTGAGTGAAAATAAAGGAACGAACAAACGAGCAAGTTGCAAAGTTTCCAATGAACGTATCGTCGAATATCAGAGAACGTATATTGTTCGTGATGTTTTAGACGTGAACATTGATTGCGGAAAAGACGCCGACCTCGCTTGGCGGTTTACAGAGCGGTAACGGTGTTCGGGGATAGAGTGAGGTATCCTAGGGAGGGAAGAAAGGAGAGGGGGTAGCGATATTATTGATTTATGTCCCGTTATACGTTATGTATCCAACGGCGCCCTCCGCAGCATACAATGATCCACCTAAAGCGCAACATTGTTTACACCTGAGAATCGACTACGACAGAATTTTTTTTTCAAATTCTTTCTCTTGCAAAAATAATAAGCTCGCCCATTAACGTGCTTTTTTCGTATAATCCTGGGATTTGGAACGTAAGAACTAACTGAAAAGATTAACGACACAGTTGCGTTTTATCGTACCTAGGCTTCGTTAGAAATTTCTCTGTAGGAACACGTTTTACATAATCTATTAAGAAAGATTGCAAAACTCACAATTTTTATTGAATAAAATATATTGTGAATGAATAACCCAGTAAAAAAAATCCAAGACCGTCGAAACCTTTCAGCTTCGTTAGAAATTTCTTCGTAGAAGCACGTTTTACATTATCTATCAAAAAAGATTGCGAAACTCACAATTTTTATTGAATAAAATATATTGTGAATGAATAGTCCAGTAAAAAAACCGCAAGAAAGCCAAGATCGTCGAAGTCTCTCAACTTCGTTAGAAATTTCTCCGTAGGAGCACGTTTTACATAATCTATCAATAAGGATTGCAAAACTCACAATTTTTATTGAATAAAATATATTGTGAATGAATAATCCAGTAAAAAAAATCCAAGACCGTCGAAACCTTTCAGCTTCGTTAGAAATTTCTTCGTAGGAGCACGTTTTACATTATCTATCAAAAAAGATTGCGAAACTCACAAGTTTTATTGAATAAAATATATTGTGAATGAATAATCCAGTAAAAAAAACGCAAAAAAGCCAAGATCGTCGAAGTATCTCGGATTCGTTAAAAATTTCTCCGTAGGAGCACGTTTTACATTATCTATTAAAAAGGATTGAAAAACTCGCAATTCTTATTGAATAAAACGTATTGTGAATGAATAATCCAGCAAAAAAAGACGCAAGAGAGCCAAGATCGGCGAAATCTTTCGGCTTCGTTAGAAATTTCTCCGTAGGAGCACGTTTTACATAATGTATCAAAAAAGATTGGAAAACCACGTAATAATTATTATTGGATAAAGTATATTGCGAGCGAATAATCTAGTAAAAAAAAAACGCAAGAGAGCCAAGATCGTCGAAAATCTCTCGACGTCGTAAAGTGATTAAAATCTAACGTCCCAATAAATTGGGAGCGAAACGCTCGGATCTCCACAAACTCCCGGTAATTGTCCACATTATCGGGGCATCTCCATCGCGCAAATCGAAACTGATGATCGGCGGCGGAAACAAACGCTGCGGAAGCGGGCTCGGGACAGGCGAGCGACCATCGCGTACGGGGCATTTCCCAGTAGAAGTAGGCGTTCGTGATATCAATTATCTTCGATACGATTTACATTGTACGAAACGTTGCGGCATGCACGAGGATCGTGTCGTTGTGATGCGCGCCGGAAATTGGGTGGGGATGGCCAGGCGGAGCGCGGCGAGGAGACAAAATCGTCGAAGGTGGCAATAGCGGGGAGGGAGGGGCCCCGGCGAGCCGGGAAGCGCCGAAAATTGATGCATTCTCTATGCAAAATAGCAGAAGCACGAGGCTAATAGTAGCCGGGCCAGCACGCAACCAGAATTCCTCTATGGCAACCGCTTACCATTCTCTCCTCTCGCTCTCTCCCCCGCCCCCTCCCCCTTGTCAAGCTTCTACCTACATCACCACCTCCGTCACCTACGTCCTGGACAGAATCGAGAGCGGCATAGAAGCCGTTAACACTCTATTAACACTAACGACGCTCATACATAACAACGGTGCCGCGGGGATAGAATTTATGGTCTATTAATGGGGGTTACTTTATGCGTTATGTAGTTGTAGTCGTCATGCCGACAGGTAGTATGACGTAAATTTTACGAGGCCCCCGCGCGGAGCGCCCGCGTGTATGCAATAAGTTACTCGTGAGACCCGTTATTAATGTGTTTACACTAGATATCCGTGGATTCGGTCGGCGCCACTTTTCCTGTTAACCGCCGCAACAATTCCCCCCGGGTTGGACCAAGTGAATTAAAATCCGACCGTTAAACGCCCATAAGTATAATGAAGCATGCGAAGAGCATCGGCCCGAGAGTTAGCACGCACCAGGTATATAAAGACATAAATTTAGACCGTGGATATGTGTATGCGGCGTGAGGAGGGGATAGCACAGGCACTTCAGATTAGAAGGCGCAGTCTTATCTCCCTCTTCTAGCTAGCTTCCTAAATCCCCGCGCGATTCTATATTTATTAGTTTACGCGAGTCGAAAGTTCATCACCTGGACACGATGTCCTCTTCAAGACACGGCCGTTTAATAGAAATTTACGAAATATGCGAAAATAATTTCTTCCCCCATTAAATTTAATATCCATATCTGTCGTAATGTTCCTTGTTAACGCACATTTCTAAATACCTAAATACTTTTCATTATAAAAATACCTCTAATTCCAGAATCGCAAGGATAATTATACTTCGACTCATGACGATCCAATTCAGTTCAGATGCGCGAAATTCAATTTCTCCAAACACTCGCAAACTCCCGGGATCAAAATACATTTTTTCCGCCCCAATTTACACGTACTCCGCAGACTAAACCCATTCCGTATAACGCGTTATTGCGCTAAATTTGAAAAAAGAGAGAAGAAAGAGGGGAGGGGGAGGAAGAGAGAGAGAGAGAAAACAGGTGTACTTGTAATCTCTCGCGAAATGCGAGTAAACAAGAAAGTTAACGGGCTCACCGCTCGTCGAGTGCAGCGTAGTCGAGTGCCAAAGTTCATCGTGAGATCCTGCCCTCCTCACGGGCTAAAGGAGACGCGGCAAGGCCGGTAAAGTGATAAAGCGGCCATAAATTCTAACCGCCATCCTCCCACCGGCTCCTCTATCTTGCCGGGTCTCCGCTCCGCCGACTCCTCGCGCTCTCTCCCGTCCTCGGCTATCTCGCTCCCTCGCTCTCCGTTCGTCCTGCCTACGGATTCCCTCCTCGCCTCAAATGCATTTGCAACGTGGATGCACCTGCAACAACCGAATTGGCAAAGGTCACCGTGCGCTCGCCTCGTTGCTTTAAATCGTAAATACGCGATCCACCGTATACAGGTATACCCACCTGACGATGAATTCTTCCGTCCCTCTATCTCGCATGACCCGGATTCGTTACCCAGTTCCGGAAGTGCGATAGCATTACGGAGACTTCCGCCAATTATACTCACCTTTCGTCGCGTCGACAGATGCGGCAGATAGCGTCGCGTCGATTCATCGATCTCTTTGTAGCAAGAATGAATTAGCGGATATGCGCATTAATCCAATCGCACGATTTACGTTTGCCTCTAATCACAGAGAATATCAATCAAATATAAATTAAACGTGAAAGAATACGCAACGATGTCAGTCGATTACGTGTGACAAATTAACGTTAACTTGGTTCAAAGTTTTCGACAAGTATCTCAACTCACTGTTGCTTCATCGTACATTATCTAAATATTAGAGAGAACAATAGACCTGTTATATCTGCTTCTATATCAGTCGATTCTGATCACATTTATAAAGTCATCGGATCGATTACACATTCTATCCTGAATATTGCGATCGAAATCTTTGTATCTATTGCATGAAATTTGAAACTAACAGGTACGCTAAACACGCGAGCTTCGGCAAACAAAAAGACATTTCATTATCAAACTTGTCATTCTCCACTGATTGTGCGTTGCAATAAACTGATTATTATCACAAGTTTATTGCAATGAAAGCCGACCTTTTAATAGGGGAAATGAAGAGCGAGAAGAAAAAAAAAGGGAGAAAATTTCAAGCGTGAATAATCGAAAAGGGACGAGATAAAAGCCGCGATATCTGAAATTGAATCTGATATTGACACTTGAGGCATGCCGGACCGCGCACGTGGACACGTGGAACGAAGACGTCTGTCCGTCCGTGGAAGAATGGTTGCAGCTGCACTCGGTCGAGATGTCGAAATCCAATATCGCAAATCCGAGCATACCTACCGTCTAGGCGAGCTAGGCACGGTGTGTTCGTTGCAGCGCAGGGGCGAACAGACAGAAATCCCAATAAATCATCCCGTCACGAGCCGTGAGCCAAGGCGGGGCCTCTTGCTTCGTATTAGCCAATAATAATCCTCTCCGAGGTGGAGGCCATCTTGGATTATACAATGGTTCCTTCCGCTGCAATTCGTATAAACGCAACCTCCGGGTATGCTGGACTGCTCTCTCGCTCGAAAGGAAGCCCAGTGGCGTACTAATCGCGATATCCCCGTACGTACGAGTATGGGAAATGATGATTTCACGCCGGGAATCTGCGAATCCGACTGGGAATCTCTCGTCCACCCCGCCGATTGACCGCCGGCACTCGCGAATCTGTCGCGACACGAGCGTGATGATAAGGGGGGCACGACCGAATTCTTTTTTCCTCACCACATCCCACGTCATATTCAACCACAATTTATTTCTCGTTTTCAAACACAGCTATTATAATTAATATAATAATAATTATTATTATTAATATGGACAGACTCTTATATAATATAATACAATACGGTTTAGACTCGTCGACATGATAGCATGTAATACTATTTTATCCATCGTCGTCGTCTTCATCATTATACATAATACATACTTCACTCGCGTAAGACATCGTTTACCATTGCAATCATCATCAACACCGTCACTGTCGTACTCTTTATGTATACATATAGTTTACATAATGCGAGACACTACAAAATAACTATATACGTTTGTTGTAGCTGTAATAATTATCGTATATATTTATATTTAAATATATATATATATTTATATATATATAATTTATATGTATATATATTTATATATATAGATTCATTTATTTATACTTTTTTTCTTCTCTTCGATTTATCGTTCGATAAAGCAGTGTTGCCCACGTTTGTTTTTCGGCTGCTAGGCACACCTGTACTTAAGTATTTCTTCCGCACGATCGTTGGAACGAATGCATTGTACCCGGTCTTTTGTAAATAGGCAATGTTGTATATACTGTTTCTCGAATTTGTATGTCTTTCTTTGTGTGTGTACGTGTGTACGTGTATACGTGCGCGCGTATATAATATGTAGAATATATGATACATATACACTTTGTGTTTTTCGGTCGGGGCAATGCGTAACCATGGTGACTCAAGTGTGTAGCTGAGAGATAGCAAACCTAATCGTACGTCATGCTTCAGGAAAACATGTTAACGCGAATTTTTATGGAACAGCGACGCGGCGCTTCCTTCCACCTAAATAAATCGCGGCTTGTCGCCTAGATTGTTGTCCCGCATGTAGCGTATCCGGAACTCGCTCTCGTCGCACTAGTAGGTCGATTCCCCTAGTAACCTTGGCACGGTCGTATTTTGCAACAAAAAAAATTGCATAAGCGTTCCACACGTAGACGTTTATCTTGTACAACCGGAGATGCCGGAATTACTGGATTCAGTTGCGTCCATTTCTACCGATGTTTAAATGAACTTTAATCTCGGCTTAACTTTTCATCTCTTTCTAACTCTGAGAATTAGAAAAAGGTGAAAGTTAGTCAAACCGAAATTAAAGTTCATCTCCCTTACGGAAAAAACACTCAAGTTTTAACGCTCAAAACTCGAGTGTTTTTTCCGTAAGGGCTACACGGGCTAAAAATGGGCATTGATCCAAAAGTACATGGCAAATACCGATCTTTTTTTCTTTTCGATTCAAATAACTGATTCGAAACGTGTGAAGGTCGAGCAACTAACGAAAGAATTTTCATGCAAAATTTTGACGAGGGATTTCGTTGTAATCAAAATCCGTAGGGTGCGACACACTGGAGAAACCGTGAGTTCATCAGCGGACGACAACGTGGCGGCTCTCGAAATATTGTCATCCTCTTACTCTAGTTATATTTTCGTCGAGTCACCGAGTAATCGAGTTACCCGTGCAACTCAACCGTGTGAATATCGTTACTATATCGTATCAATAAATAGTGATTAATTAGACCTCTGCTACCGTTACTTTGTAAGGTTTTCTTTTTAATCTAGTAAACAGGTACCTACTTTACCTACGCGGTATCGTATACAGGGGTCGCGGCTCGCGATTCGATACCGCGACGTCAGACGTCGCCTTTCACATTGCCCTGCCGATAATTTGAAAAAAGAAAACTTTCATCTCCACACACACCTTTTCACATGACTAATTATATACAAATGCATCTCGTTTGCTCTGTGTGTCCACTGGGACGTCAAAATGAAAGTTACATTTAAGTATAGAGCAAATTCGGCAAGTTTTATTGCTTGTATTTGGATGTCGATTCGATTTACAAACGAAAAGATCTCGTTATTTTAGAAATAAGGTTCCGAAGTCGCTCTATAAATTGAGTCTCAAACTGCAAAATTCCCTTTTCTTTTGGAATAATTAGCTAACTTGAATATCAATATAACGCACAGTTAAATAATTATTTCTATTGATAAATAATTTATATCGGTCTGAATGTCTTCTCGTTTTAGCGGCTATTGTATACAGTATACTTGTCTCGCGTTACGGAGTCTATCAGTCTTCACATGGCGGAACCTATAATCGATGAGACCGCATATCTCACGAAACGTTCGAAATAGCAAAAAATCGGAAATTTCACGTGTGTACTTATGGCAATCTCCTCCTAGTTGCATTACACAAGCAATACATTTATAATGCCTTGATCGTTTCTTTTTTGTTTTTACATTTACAAGTACATTAAAGTATGATTCAGGGATTAAATGAAGCGAGTACAGTGAATGTTTCGGTTAATTTGGTGCATGATAAAATTTATGGAAAAGATGAAACCAGTAAAATGTGTTCCGTATTAACGTGTACTATTATCTTTCCATCACTTTAAGAGATACTGGGAGTTTTTCTGTAACTTTGTCTCGCGCGTTATAAAAACAATATTAATAGAATATATTACAATGAGTTTAAGTGCGATGGATGATGATGGAGCGAGGGACTTGCTTATTTATACATTTCACGTATTCGAATAGAAATACGATACCCAAAGGGTGTATGAAACTAATGACACTTTCCTGAAATGCGAACAGGAAGTCAGGAACTTCTCTTCGGCGCGTACGCGTACGAGGACGACGTTTTGCAGTTTACTTATTCAATGTCGGCATAATCGAAAATCAGATGAGATTAAAGAATCGAAGGGGCAAAGTATCTGAATATGCGAGAACGTGGGTTTTGCGTCATTTCTTCTTTTAAACGTCGTTTCGTATTTACACGTGTAATCCGATAAAAACGATTGGATATGCGAAAGTACATCAGCATAAGGATTTCGTAATCTCTACCGAGCCACGTCATTTCGTAGAGATACTCAAGGAAGTGTTAGAATAATGGTATATATAAATACCTACAACTTTATCTAGTACATTATAAAAAATATTTATTGTATAATCAATTAAACAAACAGAAAGATTCACTTTGCGGTATATATAACATGTATCAATAAATATTACCGGACTAAACAATATTACGGTTTGAAAATTACTCGTTCATTGACAAGCATTACTTCTTATATTTCTTCGTTTCTCTTTGTTCTACTTATCTGGTAGCGTTTTTTTTTCTTGCGGATAGCCTAGTTAGAAAGATCGGACTTATGTACAATGTTCTTTTTTTTGCAAGTGCCGCCGCTCTCTCGCGTATTGTGGACAATAATAAATAAAATTTTCATTGCGCGTTGCTCTCCCGTGGTGTACGCTTAATGGCGGATATACGGTTTCTTTATTTAGACGAAAATCCAATTAAAAATTCACGACCGCCACCTCCATTCACTTGCAACCGACACATACCCGTTTACTTAACGCTATTTCTTAATTTTTTTTATGAATTAAATTTTAGATGTTACTCTTATCGAATACGGACTATTTTAGTGACATACTTCGTACGTACACACACTGTTGCATTTACGTTCAGTTTTACGTTCTACTTTTGCATACACTCACGGTACTTGGTTTAATTTACGTATATCTTGTAATTTAATGCGCATATATATGAGTAAAGTTAAAATATATATTTTGCATTTTATTCCTCCCAGTTAATATTATGAATTTCCCTTCTCGCGTTATATATAATATATGTATATATTTGTAATCTATAAGTAATAGGTTCGCTATCCAATAGATACAAAAGTTTATTTTTCTTTAATTGCGTACGTATCCACGGCGATCGCCCACCACAATTATTACTTGTACAGCACCGAAGTCCATCGTATCCTTCGTTTAAATTTTATTTAAACATATTTTATTGCACTATTCAACTTTTGTACACATTACAATCGAATTAGATGTATGCAAATAATCTTCGATTTGACAGATCGGTACTGTATCTCGAATGTAAACGTATATATACTACAATTTCGACAGATAACAAAGTAATAATGTGCACATAGCAAATCATAAGAATCTCATCTCACAGATTATTATCGTTGTCTCTTTAGCAATTTAAGAAGAAAATGATTAGCTCGATCTCTAGAAGTTGGATATATGAAATTTTCTTTCGGCCATAATATTATAATAACTGATATTAAAGGATGTTCCTTGCTAGAAGTGATAAGAAGCTTAGAATTTCACGAATCGTATCCCCTTCTCTATCATTAAAATAATATTACTTGTTCAACGGTTAAACGCTACGTGCAATTTGCTCGCGGTAAAATATGCAACGATCCAATATCGTACGAATTTGTACGAATCACGCATCACTAATACAATTGTACAATTGTTGTACTTCAAGGATTAAGAAGAAAATGTCAGCGTAACTGGCGGCAAAAGAATCTGCAGAATAATAACTTCTATATATCCAAATTACGCAAAATTGAACAACGAAACAAAAATGTAAAAGATGACGGATTCTTTCGCGAGAGTATGATTGGCTAGATTACAACGGGCGCCTTCTAACGCGCGCGATAGCGAGCGACCGCCGCGGATTTTCCGCAGATTTCACACAGTTCGTTGCTCCTCAAGGACAAAGAGTTTTACATAAATAAATTTCTCGAGAAGGAAAGGCTGGTCACACATCGCTCGGTCGACGTACGAGCTGGACCATACGTTACGTATATCGATTACACGACTTATGCCACTCTCTCTCTCTCTCTCCGCCTCTATCTCTCTCAATGAAGAGATGGTAAGGAGCCGAATTCTGTAGCGAGTTAGAAGATTGACCACCTCTACAGGCATTTTCGATCGCTGTTCATAATTAGCACGCGGTTATTAATATCGTTTATTACGTATATCATTAATTATGGTGTATACAAGATATACACTAAATAATTATGTCGAATCTAAGTTTACAACACAGCACAATAATTCACCGCGGCGGAATATATGGGCTCGCCTGGCTACAACGTGGCCGGGCTTTCCTGAATCTCCCGATACGGCATAATCGAATCAATTCATCGAACTAGATCAGACGATCGAGTTGACGAGTGCTCTGATACCGCTTGCCACACTTAACACGCTCGTTTCAATATACAAGTCTAACAAATTGGATTCTTGCTGATCGGGTCATTTCTCACTCATCGAGTGTGTCGTCACGTGGATAAATAAAAACGTTATAATTGTCTCGTGTAAATAGTAGTAGAAAAGAATTTACAAAAGAAGCACAATATCACTCATTGTCAATTGAGAGAATCAAATAAAGATTGTTCGAATTGACTTTGTACTAGAAAGAGCTAAGTATAATTGGTTGGAATAATGATGCAATTAAATTATTGTATGTACATAATAAAAAGAATTTCTTTTGGTTAGCTCCAAGCTGCTATTAAGGTGCCAAGCGGTTTCATGCCGAAAGCATCCTATTCCAAAAATACGCTATGTATTATAACACTTGGTAACTTGGCGTCATGTCGCGCGGAGCAAGAGCAAATTTTCGATAGCTACTAATGCAAATAAACTTTCGTCCTTTGAGTTAGCTTCTTTCAATATTTACAGCAGAAAGAAGAATTGCAACACTATTACGAGTATAACTGTTGCATTTGCTCTTTTAAAAAAATTCTAAAGAAAATAATTTTAATCGAGATCACATGACATGTCCAACATTGTAAAAGATATATTACGCTACGTACATTTATTTAATATCAGAGACATTCAATATTATCATTAGATGCTATCAAATATCTTAATATCAAATAATTGTCTTTTGAAGTCATTTGAACTATTACAAGTACAAACTAAAGAAAGTTTCTTGAGTAAGTAAAATACAAATTTCTTAAATATACATTGCTAAATTGTCAAAAACACCGTCAGAAATGTGGTAATTTCAACATCCTTTTCCAAGCGGACACGCTTTTTAGCTAGGAAAGAACTGCTTATGTACATTATATACTCGTATTTTGAGCAATATGCGTGGTAGGAACAAACTTTCCTAACTATCGGCTAGTAAAACGGATAAGCTACAGTTTTATGCATCATCAAGTACACGAAAATGTAAGCTTATTCCGTTGGTGTTCGAAAGCTTACTGTTCTTATCAAATGCGCGATGATTCAACGAGAAACAAAGTAATTTAACCGATAATTGCATATCATTAGCAATCTGTATAAGACTAACCTTGCGATGACGCTGATGAAGTAATGTCAAGTCCATTTGACTCTGCTCCGCCGAAGGGCGCTGTTTTTTTTTCTCTTTTTCATATTCACTTAATCATTCAGCACTAGTCTGTCTTATTCACGGTCGCCTTTTCCGCATACGACATTTGAAAAACAACGCCATGACCTTTATATTTATACATGAGAATCCACCGATCTTCCATGGAATTAGTTTTGCACACACTTGTATCACTGTTCCCAGGTTAAGACGATAAGCTTGACGATTTTTCCTCTTCCGCTTCCGCACTGCTCTTCTTTCTGTCCACCTGCTGTATCCCGCCGTTACTCGAATCCTCCCCTCGAATTTGATCAAAACACATTCTCGAAGATCACACTTGGCACGAATCATAAATATCCTCGTTAGAGCCACCGCGCGCGGCGGTATTAAAGAAAGAAATCTATCTAAACAATCCTCTAAGGACACTAAACCGCTTACCTATCGCTAAATACAGACGCGATGGACATCTTCGTACGACTATTCTACTGATCGTTCTACAATTCTACTTTACGATGTAAGAGAATAAATAATAAAATGCTCGCCTAAGATTTCAACACGATCTCTTTTCTTTTTCCTACCGTACTCGTATTCAGATTCGCGCGTATCATTCATTTCTCAGCGGATTTAACTCTTAATACTCTATCATTCCGAACCACATCTTCTGCGTGCGTAGTACCAACCGGTCACTCGCTCCCACGATTTCACATTAAACTACACGTGCATCTTCATCCATATATATACATAAATGTATATATATGTATGCATGTACGTATATATGTATATAGGCTATATATAGATGTATATATAGCCTATATATATATGGGCTTTAGTATACAATAATCGATTAAATGTAATAGAGGTTGACGCGGTTCTGATTAGCATGTGATCCAGTTTTGTTTACTCTCGTCGATCAATAATCTTGATCCACCTTATATTCGCGCACATTCCCGCAAATCCTCTACTGACTCGTTTGTGCGTCTTTGCTTCGTTTTAGTCTCTTCTTCCTGCCTCTTCTCGTCTCTGGGGTTTATCGTAAGTTTTCTTCTTATCGTCTATTCGTCATCGAGCGCTCTTACGGGTCCTTCCACAACTTTCTCGCCTTCATCGTCATCTGCTTCGTTTTTGGTACAAGCAACATGATTAACACGACAAAATAAGCGTCATTGCTTAGAGGGATCATTTGGAGGTCATCGATGAGGATTGGGGGGTTTGGGTGGGGAGGAGGTAGTGCTGGAAACAAGGTATTAACGACCCTGAGAGAGGTGGAAAGGAAGTTCCACTCCTCGGAGCTCTTTTAACCCTGCGGCGACGTCTGCGGCGAGATTTCAGTGTCGCCATCGCCCGAGCCCGGCTCGCCTTTCGTCTTGTTCTCTTTCTTCCACTTCATCCGTCTGTTTTGAAACCAGATCTTTATCTGCCGTTCCGTCAGACATAGCGCGTGTGCGATCTCGATGCGTCGCCGCCTAGTGAGATATCGGTTGAAGTGAAACTCTTTCTCCAATTCTAACGTTTGGTATCGTGTGTAGGTCTGCCGGCCCCGTTTCCTCTCTGAAACGAAACAAGTTGAAATCCTAAATTAATATAAATCGCCGTACATGCGTTCTAAAATTATTACGCTATATATCTATACGCTAAACAAACAAACGAAACAAGCTTAAAGCTGCCATATACAAGATGTTTCAAATATTACAAAACGCTAGAGTATATCCTTTGACGGATGGTGGTTGCGCTCGCATAGACGCGAATGCTTCGCCATCTTATCTTTAAGCTACAGAGACGACCAGCTGAGTAGCATATTTAATAAATACCACAGCCTGCGATCGGCTTAACCGGCCGATGGAGGTTCCTGTAAACTTTAACGAAATGAAAATACCGCCGCGACTGAAAAGAAAGAAAAAACTCGGCATCGTAAATGCAGTTCCGCATATGATAGATACCTTAGCGATATCCGCGATATGATCTGCGGTCGGCGCGCGGTACACGAATCGCGAACAAGAATATTAATTATGGTTGCCAAGAGAGCGAGAGAGGCGGAAAGAACGGAGGAAGGTACTAAGGAGACAGAGCGAGTTGACTCTGTGTGAGAAGTCTCGCAACTTTACAAGGTATAAACCTCAAAGGGTTTGGTTCGGTTAACCCGCCATACGAGTGTGAGAGAGCAAAACGAGAATGCTTCAGAATGGTATGAGGGAGGGAAGAAGGAAGAAGAGGCGTAGGGATGAGAACTGGAAAGTAAGGAGGGGAGAGGTGAAGAAGGAGAAGAAGAAGAAGAAGACGAAGAAGAAGAAGAAGAAGAAGAAAACTCCTTGGCGAGCATTCGAGGCAAACGCCGCCCGTCGCGCTGTCGGCCGATGAAGATGGATGGCGGTTCTGCTCCGGAGAGAGATGGAGAGATCGCGTAGGTTCCTGAACCGTTCGAATAGACGAAGAGGGCGAGATACGGCGAAAGAGGGAAAAAACACGCGTTAGAGAGAGAGAGAGAGAGAGAGGGGGGGGGGGGAGGGAGACAGGGACGAAGAGGAGAGGATAGAGAAAGTTGGGAACATGCCCTCTTATTCCCTCCCTTGGGCTACGCTCTCAAATTAACAACATACCAATCTCTAGCGCTCTCTTATAAGCTTTAACGATTTAGGCAACTTCCTTGGCTCTCTTTCCCTCCGTCGTTTTAAGAAGATAGCCATTTACTATTCCACCAAAAATAAAATAAATATTATAAACGAGTAATTACAACGATCGCGTCGCATAATAAATAGATATGAAGTATGATAGCGAAGTTTTCATAAATGCCTTTATTGAATCGTGTACCGCATCAGAAAAATGTCATGACTGTCAAGCGCTCTGTGAAAGCCGCATCCTATTAATATTCATTCGTCACACCGTTAATGAAGATCATGTTCTAGATCTAACGCTAGATCATCAAAGCGTCAGGGAAATACATGGAGCATGTTCAAATGCACCGACACTCAGGAAATTCCGATCTATATTTATGAGCTATTTATATAATTTTATTTATAGGATTTTATTCTGCAGTTTGAAAACGAGTAAATCTTATTCGTAGCCAAAGTTTAGATGTGATTAAAACTGATTAGTAAATTGATTTGTAAAATATTGGCGCAACCGTAATCGTACGTCGTTTTTAAAACGAAATTCCAGGCATCCAATGTATATTTTTATTTAAAACTTATATATCAGTCTACAAATATATAAGTTTTAAATAAGGTGAAATACATCTACGACCACTTTAAATAAAGATAATCCCAAGCTGATGCGGCGTAATAATCAGGTTTGTTTCGAAAGGTCACTTCGCCCATAAATTCTCTCATGCCACTAGATGTTGCAGAGCAAAGAAATGAATTATTAAACGCTGCATCGAGACGAGTCTGTATTATTTATGAGCTAAAACCTATAAAATTTCCGAGCCGATCGATGTGATCATTGAAGACTAAAATATCGATTAGGTATATCTCGCTATGAGAATTAGACAATGGTACGTGAGTCGAGTGCAGGGGTTAATTAAAGGGACAGCAATTTTGTGTTCTCAGACGTGCCTACCAATATGATTAAATGTTTTTATAATGTAAAAAGAATGAAACTGATGTTGCATATCGCGAGAAGAAAAGTATCCTTAACAGATGCTAATAGAAATGTAGAAACTGTAATACTTAAAGGTGTTAAACTTTAAATGTTAAAATTTAATTTCTTTTAATTTAAATGTTAAAATCCAGAGTTTATACTTTTGGATTCGATGCCCTTGTACATTTCATGCGTCATTTCGCGCGTAATAATTTATTATAATGTGGAGTCCTGCGGTTCCATTGATATTTCTAGGATACTGCGTGACACATGCGCGCAAGCACGCGCGCACATATGGAAAGAAATCCTGTAATAAGAAAGTCATACCGATGGCCTAAGTTTGCGCCGGACCGGCGTACCGACGCTGCCACAGCTTTCGCGGACGGAGGTGACTTTAAACGCGGAGCAATAAATTAACGGCGTTGGGTTACGCAAGGATCAAATGTCCCCTGGAGTATGCCCGGGAGATTTATGGGTCTGCCTTCACTGGCGCAGCATGAAGGAACGAAACAGAACAGAACGTACACAACCGTGCGGCTTATTATAGGCTAGTTGCTCCGCATCTCCACTTCCCCTCCTGCCTGACTAGTCTTTCAGGCCCGCCGCAGGATACACGCAGGACTTTTCAGATTAACAGCTAGCCGGATGTTGTAACCCGCTAATAAGGTGCGGCCACCACTCGCTGCCCAATTAAGCTAAGCTTTACGTGGGCACTAGAAGGCCAGACCTTGAAACTCTCTTCGATTAGATATCTTAGAAGTACCATTTATTTCATCATTTGCTCGCGGTATAAATATGATCCAACCAGCCTTGGATTATATTTACACCGTTGACGGACAGCAATATTTTAATTGTGCGAAATTGTTTGGATCGCATCTCAACATTTACTTGAATAAGCACCCGGTTGTAACAAAAACGACAAAGTGAAATTCCGTTTGTTATGTGACAATTTTTAATGATGTAAATTTAAAATTTTGTTCTAAAATGTTAAAGATTTTAATATATCCTTAAAAAATATATTATATTATATATATATTCTTTGAAATGTCTATACAAAAATAATGCAGAAAAGAGAATAGTAATAATAAGAAATGATTAGAAAATGTTTCCATTTTGAGTGTGTATTTTGAGATCAGACAATATTTATTCTCATTTTTAACAATTCTCATAAGTGTACAAATAATTCTTATAAAATGGACCAGATCCTAAAACGTTGATGTTCGACTTTACCACGCCTTAGATACGTACTTATTTATTTATTAAAACTATAATTTCACATGTGAAATTATAGACCTATTTAAATATTTTATACGGCTGAACTAAAATAAACTGAATTCCACAGAAGTTGTCGGCAAAAGAGAAAAATATCAAGACCGCTAACATTCATAGAGAGAATTTCAGAAACCCCCAAGAAGACGAGAGTACCCGATAGGCGGTTTTTCCTCCTTTGCTTTCGCTTTCCTCTTTTTTATCTTCCGGGCAGACGAGCAGACAGGCGGACAAGAAGATGGAGTCTGAAAGAGCCCCGAGGTAGAAGGTCGAGATAATGAGCAGCGGGAACGGCTCGCTGCGACATATGCATCTTTACGGTATCACTCAGAGCATTAAAATTTACTTTTTCTTGCACCTGCTACTCTAGATACAAACAATATGGCTGTCCCATAAAAACTCGAGATTAAATTGTGACAAATAGGAATTTTTTACTCTACACAAGAGCCCAAATTGATTGTTGGACGTTACGTAAACGAATAAATCAAACGGCGTGCAACAAAATAGGGACACAGTTTTGTCTTTCGAGTGTTGAATTTTAGCCAAATATCGAATAGGAAATCAAACCGCGACCTCCATATCGTTCACAATTGCCTCCATGGCGGAGCTCCAAAAGAAAACGGTCCCAGGATTTCTGTGGATTCATTCATCATCATCATCCGTCCCTTCCACCTCCTCCTACCGCCTCTAATTCTTTCTTTCTTTTTTTCTCTCTTTCTCTCTCGCTTTCTCTTGCACTCGCATGTACACATATGAGTGCATACGTATACACGCACATATCCTCTCGTCTTTCACCTTTTTTAGCTCCTCCTTTCCTGCCCCTTTTGAACTCCATCGCTTTTCGAATATCTCACGAAGCCGCCATCATTATGGCCACCAATCTGTTGAGCGGCTAGTTGGATTATAATAAAATGCATATCGGAATTTAGAATGCTAATTCTTCTGACTTGTTCTAACCTGATTCATCTTTCAAACAACGACTACAAATTTTATAAACATATTTTTAATGTATCAAATCCCCTTTTAGCTTTAAATAATTCATAAAATTTTACTATATGACTTCGAAATTTTAGCAAATAAAATATTTTTTATATACGCTAGTATTTCGTGCATAATATCAAAAGAGATAATCAGATATTAATACATTCACACGCTATTTTCCTGGCCGATACGGAAGTATAATAAGAAAGAGCAATAAGTTCGTTTCACGGTGTTAAAATCTGTTCGTTTAATTGAATTGTTTTACACTTTCTTTTGTCAATAATATATGTTCTAAACTTTTCAGGATACCTTACATAAGGAATGTAATATACGAGCGTGCACGCACGTATGCAATAACGGAAGCTTTGTAACTGTATCACGCCATGCTTATTTGCCGATTGAGAATATATGAGGGGGGAAGGAGTCGAGATGTCATAAATCTTTTCGCACAGAAGGTCGCAATTATCTCATGCATTAAAAGCAACGATGGCCGGTCTCCTTTTCTCGGCTCAACACTTGGGATCGGAATGCCAAATGGTGGACGGTGTGTCGCAAGCACGTTGTATTATCCAATGTGAAAAAGATTATGTTGAGATTTTCGAATCTCACCAATTTGATATATGGCAATACTTTCGCTTGTATTTTAATATAAGAATTATTTTAAATATTTTAAACCGCATTAGAATAATAAAATTTTCACGGGGAAAACTCGTCTTCTTTTAAAATTGACCAAACTGGCATAAAAGTAATATATATTTAAGTTACTACTTCTGTTTTTTTACTCTTACAACTAACTTATTAATTAATTTATTTCTCTTATTATCTCACTATTTATCTATTTATTTATTTATATGTACTCGTAACAATTCCAGATATGACATTATGAATTGGCTGCCACAGACTCATGAACTCATTCTGTTTCAGTATTAAATTAATTCGCTCAGTCAACATTAGGTGCGTTTTACTTCTTTGTAACACATACTTGTGTACTAAAAATTCCCTTCTTTGTATTGCGACTTGTACTTTTTAAAATGTGTTTCCAGATTGTACTTGAAAAGGACCCGATTAAGAGGTCGAAACGTAGGGCTCAAAGGACCGAGTAACTTAAACATATACGACTTTTATTCAAGTTTGATTGATTTTAAAAGAACTTTTCTGTGTTTAATTTCCACTGGCGAATAAACCTCACTCAATTAATAAAATTTTCTTTGCGTAATGATTTTATGACAAAATCTTGATACAAACGTATCTAATGAAAAGATACAGAAAAATGGAGAATACCTATTGTGCCATGTATACTTATAACAGCGTCTCTTGAAATCTTTGGTATAATCCAGGAAATCTCCAAGTACTTGCACGCCTTTACTTTGTAATGCAACTACGCCAGAATTTCTCAGCTTACGTGTATCGTGTCCCACAAAAGATGCCAAGAAATCTCGGCAATTTCACCACACAAATACTTCAACAGTATCCACAAAATAGAGTTGTACATAATTCACGAAAGTCTGATTGTAATAATTTAATTCCAATTGTAAAGCACGATGTAGAAAAAACAGATTACGTCTAGTGTAATTAATTCGATATAAGGAATCTCTCAAACTTGTATAAATTTAAAATTTTTCCATAAAATATAAAAGTACAGATAAACGCAAAGTAAAATAATCTTCAAAATCACAGAAAAACAATAAACATTTTAAATATAAATAAAATAAGATAAAATTATCCCAAATAATGAATTATATTTTTACAATTAATATTCAACTTTCTCTCTCTTAAAATCTTTTATTTTCTTATTAAAATATTACGATAGAAGGGAGCTTCTATACATTTTTATCCGAAAGGATATTACTTAAAATTCTTGTAATAAAATGGACAAAATCGAATTTATAGCGACAATGAGATGAGAGAATGAGACGAAGCATTCTTAAACGTGCCGACATCTGTGAGCACATTCAGGGACTTGAGCCATTTTCTTCGTTTAACAGGCAGTAAACTACAAGCCCCGGCGTCGTCATAAGCGTAGTGTTTATCGGCCAGTCCTGAAGCAGATACTTGGGACCTGCTTCTGAACTTAACCGAAAGATGGTACGAGCAATCATTAATAGAAAAATATGTATAGTCATGGCTAAAAAAATCGAATATTTCTTCTTTCCACAATTTAATTTATGTACCAAATTTGAATAATGTACCAAAAATTGTAAAAATAATTTTGTACATTTAAAAAGTTGTTCAAGAATGTTGCGATTTTTTCACAATTATACTACAATTATTTTTGTACCAATAATTTGTGTTTAATGCATCTCCAGTTAATATTATAATTAAAACGGCTTTCTTAACACGCCTCAAAAATATGTATAGAACACAAAAGTCATAATTTATACGAGTAGAAAGGAGAACATATACGATATTTTAAATATATTTAAACGTATTGGTAGATACCTCTTTGATTGTTTTCTACTTTTAGAACAACATTTTATTATCTTGCAAAGAACTTAATATTTTTAAGTATATACCAATAATTTTTGTTTAATGCATCTCTAGTTAATATTTTAATTAAAACGGTTTTCTTAACACGCCTCAAAAATATGTATAGATCAGAAAAGTCATAATTTATACGAGTATAAAGGAGAAAATATTTATATTTTAAATATATTTAAACGTATTGGTAGATACCTCTTTGATTGTTTTCTACTTTTAGAACAACATTTTATTATCTTGTAAAGAACTTAATATTTTTAAGTATATACCAATAATTTCTGTTTAATGCATCTCTAGTTAATATTTT